CACTCACCCACTCACTCACCCACTCACTCACCCACTCACTCACCCACTCACCAACCCACTCATCCACTCACTCACCCGCTCGCCCACTCGCCCACTCTCTGGATCCCTCGGGTTTCCCCTGCTTCTCTCACGTGTTGTGGAGTCACGAGGACCTGGCAGGGGCAGCACCTGCCCATGGCGAGTCCACAGTCTGGTGGGTGGCAGACCCAAGCAGGTGCCTGTCCTGTGGCCAGGGAGTGACCCAGGCAGATGAGGCCAGTTGGGCTGGGGCAGTATCTGGGAGCCCCAGACAGTCAGGAGGTGAGTGCTGAGTTGGGTCAGCAGGTGGACCTATGGGAGGGGTGGTTGGACGGCTGGGGTTTCGGAGCTCTGTGAGCTGTGGGGCCTCCAGTCCAGCTGTCGAAAAGACTGCAAGGGGCCTCTCAAACTGCCCTCCCTGGGGAGTGGGCTTCCTGCCATGAACTGCAGGCCTATGGTCACTGCTCTGTGGTCTCCAGGTCCTGCTTGTGAAGTGTCTGGGCCAGGCAGGGCTGGGGGCTTCTCTGGTCCCACAGGAGGGCCATGGCAGGCTGTGACCCTGGCCTGGCCCAGGCAAGAGCATGGGGCAAGCGTCCATTGCTGAGCTGGGCACCGCCCTGTGTGAGGAAAGCAGTGCAGAGAGGAGACCACAGCTGGGTCCTGGGCTTGGCACTGAGACTGGACTTGTGACACGGGTGTGACAACACCCAACTCAGGCACGGACTGAATGGCAGCCACGTGGAGCTTTTCTGTGGTGCTGGTACCTGGTACCCACTGAAGCAGCTCTGCACAAGGAGGTCTGGCCCCCGCCAGCAGGGCTGCAGGACAACTGTTAGGGGTGGGGGACCCCTGGCTGCCGTGTCCCTTGGCTGAGGGCTCTGTTGGCAGGACTTGTGAGGAGCTGTGCCCTCCACGGCCAGGTGTGGGGTTGCCAGGCCGCTCACTGCTGGGTGGCTTGGGGGCATTTCCTCCCTCTGGCCCCGAGGGCTTGGCCAAGCTCAGAGCCCGAGGGGTCTCCCCTGCAGCTCTGGGGGAACTGCTAGGTGGGCGGAGCCTCTGAGGGGGCCAGAGCCTCGGGGAAGCCTTGCTCCAGCTCAGCAGTGTCCCCACTGAGGGCCTCATGCCAGGAGGACAGGGCAGGTGGGGCTCAGACCAAGGGACTTCTGTCTTGGGTGGAAGTCTTGGGGTCCCTGTGGGGGCTCGAGTTCCCTGGGGTCAGGTGACAGTGTAAGTGACTGCCCATGGTCCCCTCCCGGTTCCCGTGCCATGGTGCCCCCCCAGCACCCCCTGGCCTGCAGGAGAGGCACTCAGGACCCCTCCCCTGGGCCTCTCCTCATTTCTGTCACCCTGCAGACCCTGCCAGCAGGGGAAGGGCAGGGTACCCCGAGCTGCTGACACCCCCCCCCTCACAGCCATTGTGAAATTTCCTTGCTGGTGTGACCTGGAAACTGGCTGGAGGACGCGTCAGGCCAGAGGGTGGGCGTGGGAGCCACGTGTTGTGTAGGAGCGGGAGGAGAGCATGACGGGACCCTAGCCCGGAGAGAATGGCAGGAAGCCGCTAATCGCAAGCAGTTTCTCCCAGACCAGTTCCAGCACTGGTGTCGGAGGTGACCAGAGAGAGAAGTGGAGGGTGGGGTATCGGGTGTGGGCTCCACGTTGGGGCTTCCTGAGAGCCCCGTGGCCCTGCACAGCGGGCTTGTGCCACCGCGGGGGCGAGTCCTTTCTGCTCAGAGGTCCTCTGGCCCCCACCCTCATCCAGTCGGGTGACATGGTTTGCACAGCCCCCCCCCACCCCGCATGTTCTAGCTGTTGCCACCTGGGTCCTGGCAGGACCCTCCACCTGGGCGGCCTCCCTGAAGACAGGGAATGGGCAGTGTGGCCGCCCAGGTGCCTGGCAGGGAGCAGCCGACTCCCCAGTCCCTCTGCGTGCCGACCCTGAGCTGGACACACAGGGATGAGGAACCGGAAAGACCTATGGCCCCTTACCTCCCCTCCTGGGCTGGACTCAGCCCTGCAGTGAGGTCCACTGAGGAGGCCAGGAGGTGGAGCCTGCGGAGGGCATCAGGACTGGTGTGGAGAGGCCGCAAGAGGACTCCCGTCCTGTGCGCTGTTCAAGGAGCAGAGTTAAGTCGTTTTGCAGGACTTCTCAGGTCCTTGATGTGCCAACACTCACTGTGGCGTCCTGAGACAGACGAGCTAGTGTATCCCCCAAACCCCGGGGGCCTTCTCAAAAAGGAAGACGCGGAAGCAACCAATCAAAGCAGGGGAGTGCGCCCCTCACGTGTGGTGAGAAGCACGGGGAGGCGAGGCCCTGGGCCGAGGTCGGGCGGTGCCAGGTCTGGGAGGGGTAGTTCCCTGCCGCGGGTCAGGGCTGCGGAGAGCCCTGAGGAGGCGAGGGTGGGGGCGAGCTGGGGAGGAGGTCCTGGCAGGGAACGGAAGGGCGAGACAGGAGCTGGGCAGAGGCAGCCGGGCAGGAGGGTGTGGTAAGGCCAGGGTGGAGGATGGTCCCTGTGGCCACCTCAGCAGTGGCCACAAGCTGGGCCCTGGCAGTGCTGGCCGCGGAAGCCTGAAGTCAAGGCCTGCAGGCCGTGCTCCCCCAGAGGCTCTAGGGGACGGTCTTCCTGTGTCCCCAGCTCCCAGGCTCTCTGGCCCTCCTTGGGTCCCTCTGCCCTGCCTTCGGTGGCCT